GTCAATAGAGTAAGGAGAGATCAATTGAAAGAAGAAAAGACAAGCAGAAAAATAGCAGAGGGTCTCAGGAGAAGGATGAGAGTAGGAGCCAGTCAAGCCCTCTGGGCATCAGCATAGATCCAGGTGTCCTCAGTTCAGGGAGGGAGACCACAGGTGTCTGGGCTTGGTGGGGGGCTGCCACTACAAACAGGGCACAGGAACCGGCCTAGCCAGGGTGGAGGGCAGAGGTCAGAGTAGGTCTGTGCACTACTGTGGCGGCAGGGCCCAGGGCAGGGGCCTGGAGCTGGAGCTGATGCGGAGTCCAGAGCACAGCTAGGCCCTCTCCTCCCCCATCCCTGGGGCTCCCTTCCCGATGTAGGTCATGAGGATGGGGTGGCTGTGGCTGACGGGCTGTCAGAGCCCAGCGGGAGTTCCCCTCCCCCAGTCTTACTTTCCCCATCACCCCTCCCTCTCCTGGTGCCCCCGGCCCAAGGCAGGGGTGGAGGGGAAGAAGGAAGACGGGAAGGAAGGGCCCAGGCAGCCAGAGCAGGGAGAGAGAGGGGCAGGTCCCGGCGTGTTGGGGCAGGATGGCTGCGGAGACAGGATCTAAGCCGCAGGAGCCCTGGGATGGACAGTTTCCCACCCCCTCTTTTCCCCAGCCCCCTTATCTTCAGCCCTCAGGTTCCCACCTCCCACCACACTCACCTCGAAGCTACACCCACCATCTTCTCCCCCCGCCCCCCACTTCCTCCTTTCCCTCTTATCCTGGGCCCAGAAGGATGTCGGAGTGTCAAAGCAAAGGGTGGGGGGAAGCGCTGAAGGGGACGGGTCCGAACCTTTCCCCCAACTCCACCAGGCCAGGACCAGCCCCCTCCCCCAGCCTCTCGTAGACTGTCATATAATATTCATGAGCCTCATGAATACGCAATGCTCTCATTATGGGGCGGGGGTCTCACTCCGTTCTGCCTCCCCCCTTGCTGCTCCCTAGACCACCGGGAGAAGCGGCAGCTTAGCGAGGGGAGGAAGGGACCCCAGATGTGGAGCCAGATGAAGGGGGAGGGGGAGCCGGTCGCTGACTGGCGGCCGCAGTCACCGCGGTGCCGGGAGGTGGAGGGGGGTGACCCACTGAGAGGGACCCAGGAGCCTGGAGACTGGAGTCGCAGAGCCCACTCACCGAGGATCATGCTGGGACCCAGGCGCCCGGGGTTCCGCGTCGCTCTGTCCCGGGGGCCGTTCTGGCCGGGCTGGGGGTACGGGGGGAGGAGTCGGGGGAGGAGCAGAGGCCGGCCGAGGCGGAGCGGGGGCGGGGCCCGCAGCAGGTGAAGACGGGAGGAGGGGGGACCCGGCACCCCGGGCTCCGCGAGGGGGCGTCCTGGCCCCTCCCGCTTCCTCCCGACCTTCTACTAGCTGCCCCTGGTCTCTGGGCTTCACCGTGTCACTGCAGCCGGGGTTGGGGGAACGAGACGCCCCGAAGACCGTGAGGTGACGGAGGAGGCTGAAAACTGAGAGGCCTGGGTCTGAGGGCGGGAAGTCTAGTTCTGGGCTGATGTCGGGCAGGCTGCTGGAGTGCTCTGGGGAGGGATGGAGCCCCGGATTGGGGGCCACATGATGAGCTGGGAGGGGGTTGGAGGGAGGTGCTTCGGGAATGTTTGGGTCTTAGTTTGTTTTTCTTTTCTTTCTTTTCCTTTTCTTTCTTTCTTTTCTTTTTTTTTTCTTTTTTTTTTTTTTAAAAAAAACTAGGGCTTGAACCCAGGGGCGCTCTACCACTAAGTTACTTCCCCAGCCTTTTTTATTTTATTTTTTTTATTTTGAGATATGGTCTCCCTAAGTTGCTTAGGGCCTCGCTAAGATGCTGAGGCTGGCCTGGAACTTGCGAACTCCTACCTTAGCCTCCCCCGTCGCTGCGATTACAGGCCAGGCGAGGGCCACTGCAATCCACCAATTTGTTTTTCTAATTTAGGAGCAGAATGCCTGGGGGCTGGGTGAATTTGGGGGTTGAAGATGGATTTGAGTTGATCCCTGCCTGGGGATCGTAATGCATGGGTCTTTTAAAGAAATTTTGGGGGAAGAGACTGCAATCAATTCTCTTGAGGATGTAGAAATTCTCTTGAGGATGTAGAAATAGAAGGTTGTAGCTGATATCATTAGCATAACTGGAAGATGACAGAAAATCCAGAACTGAGATGCAACTTTGTAGAGATGACCTGGATTGGCTTGGGGAGGAAGAGGGTGTACGATTCAGGGAGAGCTTCTATGAAGAGCACGGTGAGGTGAGGGGAGAATGGAAAGAAGGACAGATATTGAGTTGGGGAGAGTGTCAGTTGGAAGGGGGCACACAGGACACTTGTTTGTATTCTAAGGCCAACAAGGGGCCGGGGAACCCTGGGACCCCAGCACAAGGCTGAAGTCTGGGAGTCTGCTGAGGTGTCTGGGACCCCAGCACAAGGCTGGAGTCTGGGAGTCTGCTGAGGTGTCTGGGGAGGATGCAGCTGCTACAGCCTGGACCTGTCCATACCTGCCTGGAGAGGGAGGGTGCCAGGCAGATTTCCCAGAATGCCAAGCAGCCAGCTTCAGGCCAACCCCAGCCAGAGGGAAAGGGGGTGTACTTGGGAACAGGAACATGTGGGATTTAGGGAGGGTGGAAACAGGGAGAAAGAGGTCAGTGGAAGGGGTGGTGGGATTAGGATCTCATAACTGTTTAGGAGGGGGAAGGAGGACTGGCATTCCTGGGTTCTGGAGGCAAGTTAGAGTTGGATAACCAAATAAGATGCAAGAAGTTTGGGTTCCTAATTCTGAGCACCAGCAATCTTTTGCCACATTAACTTGGTTTGAAGAAAAGATCTGTTTTTGCATCTGTCAAGGTGCTCTAGCTCAAGGGCAACAGAATGCTGGGGGTGCCAAAGCCTTGGTATTGTTCTGACCAAGAGGTTCAAAGATCTTGGGACTGTGACCTGGCTGTCCACGATTGGCCTTGGGGGAGGATATGAAGTCTCTATGTCTCTCAGAGGAGGTCCTCTTATGGTATGTGTGTGTGTGTTACCAGGAAATTGAACCCAGGGTTGCTCTACCATGAGCTGTATCCCCAGCCCTTTTACTTTTTAAGACAGGATTCTACTAAATTGACCAGGCTAACCTTGAACTTGAGATCTTTTTGCTTCAGTCTTCTCAGTTGAATTGCTGGCATTACAGGTGTGTCCTCTTGCTCTGGGTCTGAACTGCCACCATAGGGTTCTACCCCAGTGTCATAAACCCTCTTTTCTTAGACCCTTACTCTCCTCTTCCTGTGTTGTCTCTCTTGGGTGGACTCTAAGACTAAAAAGGGCCAGCGCTAGGCATGGATGACCTGTGATAGAGCCCCCTTTGCCCTTAGTCCTTGTTCATCTTTTCAGGGACTCTGAGAAGAGGGTTTGCTTATCTTACTATGGGGAGGCAGCTGGCTGGAGGGCGGGGTGACCTTGCAGGCAGCTGGGGGTGGGGAGTGTGGGGTGAATTCATTATTGATGAGCCCTGCACCCCAGGCTACTAATGAGCCCAGGCCGGCTGCTCTAATTGATGTCAAGAAACTTGAGACCCCCAGATCATCTTCCCGCCTGCCAGCTGCCTCTTCTGAGCCCCCTCCCCCTCCACACGCCCCCAGCTGCTCTGTTCACTTCCTTCCCTCCTCTTTTCCATCTCCACCAGCACAGACAAGGATAGGGCTCGGGCCTTCTAGCCCCCCACCTTCGTGTTCCTATGGATGGTTCAAGTCTCAAGGTGGGAGGCACTTGCTCTGCAGGGCTACATGATTTGGGAGCGGAAACAGCCCAGAGTGTTTCAGCCTGGGGATAGAGAAGCTGGTTCTGGATTACATCTGTTTCATTTTTGAGCCCAAGGAATTCTTTCCTTGAATTGTGCATCCATGGGACAGATCTCTCCACTCTCTCAAGAGCACAGGTACCACGCACTGAAAACCCAGACCCCAGCCCAACGCTCACAGCCCATTTCCCTCTTCATAACAGTGGAAGAAATTTCAGATCTGGCCCCTAGCATTTGGCTGCTGTGATCCCCCACCTCCATCCTCCCAAGAAGGGGAACTCCTCTTGATGATGCAGTATGGGATTTCCTTCCTCAAGAATTTCTGGTGCCTTGTGCTATGGCTGACATCCTTTAAAATGCTGGGTGATTCTTTGTCTAATCTTATCTCTTCCTCCCCATCAGCGTCTCTTCATTTATGGGCTCTGGGAAGACATTCCTGAGGTATGGAATTATAAAATGACACAGGCTGGAGTGTGATCCAGGCATGGTGTCCCAGAAGGATTTTGAGGTGATGCAGGCCCTGCTAGGCAAGAGCCTGAGTTAACAAGAACAGCCCTGGTGATGGGGGAAGAGAGAGGTGGATCTCATTCCCCTCTCTTCCCCAAATTCCCTTAAATCTGTGGTTTTGCTGCCCTCTGCTGGCAAAACTATGGTCTACTAAGACGTGGACATCTGCCTCCCACAACCCCAGTCCTCTCCCTCCTCCACAGCACATCAGAAGCGGTTTGATGAGAAAAGAGGAGCCTGAGAGGCTCCCCCACTGTGCCCGATTTCTCTTGAAGACCCCAATCCTATAATATATTGGGTAAGAATTCGAGTAGTCACAGTCTGACAAGGCTGGGTTTGACTTTGCTCTGTGTGACCTTGGGCAAGTTACATAAACTCTCTGGGCTTCAGTTTCTTTTTGTGTGTTAATAGCTTTCTTCCAATTTAGTTCTCTGGATTTCCCCTCCCATTTCATTACTGATTTAAGGGAAGACCAGGTGAGTCTTCTGCACTATCTCCCTCCACCTTCTACTTGGACCTGCCCCTTGCACTCTCCCCTAATCCTCAAACCCAAACCATTTCCTCCCTTCTCTCCTTCCATTGTCTCTTTCAACTAAGATAAGTTCCCGGGGGGCATACTCCCAGCTCTGTGGACAGAAGTCAAGAGACAGGGATCTCCTTCTTGCCAAGAGGTCTGGTTCCAGGATGGGTTTGGAAAGAGTGAGGTAGGAGGTCACAGATTGCAGTTCTGGTAGTGGGGGCAGTGGGTTGGGTTTATTGCACTTGCAACATAGTTTAAATAAGTCCGGGTGTCAGGAGCTGAGGGGAGGAGAGGGGAGGGGAGGGCTGGGTAGGGAGAGGAGGGGCAGCGTCAGTGCAGCTGGTGGGCAGAACCCAAATCTTCAGGAGCCCAGCTCCCCTTTCTCTGGGGACTGACAGGGCCTGCATCTGGCCAGGCTGAGCTTCCAGATCTGTTGCCACCATGGCCTCTTCAGGGTCCTGGGCAATTCCTGACATCTCCCAAGTCAGGGTGAATTGGGCCTCTAGGCCCAGGTCTGGAGCAGACCCAACTGCAGTTCTGGATCTGCCTGGGTTAGGTTGCCAATGTCTGTGTCTGGGTTCCAGATCAACCCCATGCCCCAAACTGGATCTGGCTCCGTGGAGTTCTGATTCCCCCCTGGAGCTGGGTTCTGGGCCAGCATGGACCTTTGGGATCTGTCCTGAGCTGGTCCTAGGGCACCTTCTATGGTTAGTGTTCCTTGTTGGCCCACCAGGGTGGGGCTGTCACAGCTGCCAGGTCTCACTCCTCAGGTCCCAGATTTTTAGCTGGGGCTTCCTTGGCATCTCTCAATGACGTATCTTTGCAGGCTGAGGCTGGACAGGAAGTCCTGACGGCATGTCTGGCCCAATAACCACGACTGGATTCCCTAGTTATGGTTCCAAGTTGTTTTCAGGAAACTCCAAAATGCAAAGGCTGTGGAGAGGCTGGGCCTCTGTCCCTGGATCTGAGTTCCCCCATCCATGAGAGGGCATGTGTAAACGAGGGTCCTTCACAGTGCATGGGGTGGGGGGGGATCCCCAGCTTCTCATCCCCCTCCCCCGGCTCTGGCCCTTCAAGTATGTCTCTGGGCTAAGGAGAGGAGCTTCTCCCTGGCCCTCAGCACCTTCAGAAAGTGCCCAGTCCCCTCCCTGTCATCAGCAGACTGAGGGTGGGGGACTGGATCTTCAGGATCAGGAATCTGGGATCAGGAGGACTCAGGCATCAGAGGTGGCTGGAGGCTTGAGCTGAGCTTTTTCCATGGCCGTGCCATATGGGAGGGAGCGTTTGAAGAATCCAAGCTGATGAAGGGGAAAGGAGGTAGAGTTTAGGTCTACCATTTCTCCCCAGCTCTTATCTCAAGAGGAAATGAGAAAGAATCTCCCCATGCTGCAAAAGGGGCCTGTGAATTCAGGCTGAGACTACTCCCAGAGCTCCAATGGGCACAGAAGGGTCAAAATTGGTGATGTTTTAGCATGTGGGGAATATTCTGCTAATTCCTTAATAATGCCCCCAATAAGGTGCTGGGGATACAGCTCAGTTGGTAGAGTATTTGCCTTGCGTGCAGAAGAGCCTGGGTTCAATCCCTAACACCGCCCCCCAAAAAAGCCCCCAGTGAAGCTAGACATGGTGGCACATGCCTATAATCCCAGCTACCCAGGAGGCTGAGGCAGGAAGATCACAAGTTCAAGGGCAGCCTTGGTAATTTAGTGAGACCCAGTCTCTAGTGAAAAAAAAAAAAAAAAAAAGGGCTGGGGATGTAGCTCAGTGGTAGAGTGCCCCTGGGTTCAGTCCTCAGTACTGCCCAGTTAAATTGGGAAGGGCAAACAGATTTGAACTCAATTGCCAAGTATTACTGTTTACTAGTGGCTGCCCCTTAAGGAGTCTAGGCCACTGCTAGGATGTGATCAATTAATGATGGCTGCCCTGGATTTTAGGAGTAACAGCATGAATGCCATGTGCCTGCCATCTGTGGCTTACATTGATTTTGCAAATATGGGGCAAACTAATCATCTTGAGATAAGAGAAATCTTTCTAAGCTAGGGGCTCTAGCATAAATGGAGGGATCCTATAGGAAGGGACAGGATGGGATGCAAACTGCCAGGGCAGAGGTGGAGGCATATGACTAGAAAATTGATCTGGAGGTGGATGCTTGGGATTGTGCTGAGTCAAGGGCAGAGCCTGATGAGATGGTGGCCAAATCATGGGCAGGACGTGGCTGACCTTGTAGAGGACGTAGATGAGCAGACCTAGGAGCAGGAGGCCGAAAAGGATGGCGAGGATAATAATCCACAGTGGGACGCCATTGTTGCCTTCTGCCTTGATCCACTGCACGGCTGTGGCCACCTGGGGAACAAGCCAGGTGATGTCACTGAGACCCAGAAATTCTTCCTACAGATACAGTTGGCCCTCAATGGATGTGAACCCACCTCCCACCTCTCATTTAGTGCTAACAGCTTTCTGAACTTAAAAGATGTAAGTTCCTAAAATGTATACTATTGTCTTTTACTTAAGGGCTTTCATATCCGAGGTTCCCTCCCCCTAGGATCTTCCTTTTCTACAGGGTTAGCATGGTTAGTAACTTCACATCTCAGCTTGCACACCACTTCTTCCAGGAAGACCTCCCTGATCCTGCAAGACTAGGTTCAGGTGTTCATATGATGTGGTTTCATGAATACCCTGACACCTGTCACACTCTACTGTCACTGCCTACAAGGCTATGAATTCCAGGAGCAAAGGTACCATATGTATCCTGCTTACTACTGTATCTGGCACCTGTACAGTTCCTAGCACATAACAGATGTTCAGCAAATAGCTGTTAAAATAACAAGGACTCTGCGCCCTGTCTTTTTTTGGCCTCGACCTCTGGCTCTGGACTCACCTGAAGTTTCTTTTGGGGTAGTTGCTGGGGTAGGATTCGATAGGGCATTTTCAGGGCTTCAAACACAGCTTCACACTGCAGGCTGAATGATTGGTGCTCCTTCTGTGGGTGGGGAAAGGTGATCAGGGTAGCGCCTCTTGGGATCTAGAGACATAAGGCTTCTTCTCTGGGGTCTGGCCCAGGCTGTGATCTTTCCCTATTTGAGACTAATTCTTTCCTGATATTTCTTATATGAGGTAATAAATGTGGAATTGAATAATTATAACTAAATAATGTATAATCAGATGACTGACTACCTGTTAAATAAAAAAAAAATATTTAAAAAAATCATTTATGTGGATTAACACCCAGGACAGCGTGGCTAACAATGTGTGCTCCATGAATGGCTGTTCTTACTATTCCTACATATTCTTGCCTGATCCATTCTGCACTCATCTCCATCTTTCTGTTTTTCTATCACAACTTTGCACACTGGTCTCCTTTTCCAGCTCTCTCTTCTCTGAATGGGCCACAAGTGGTTGCTTCTGCTGTGGCCACAAGGTGGCGCCAAGGACACAGCCTGGTCTAAACAAGGGTGAAGGAGGGGGATTGGAGTACAAGTCCATTCACCAAGGAGAGGAGGCTAGTGCCCTAGGAAAGGTTGGGGTCAATCTGGGTAGATCTGAGGGTCAGAGGTCAGGGCTGAGGTAAGGCTCCCTCACCTGCAGAAAGGTCTTGGCCCAGACTCGGAAATGCAGCTGTAGACTTCGGCTCTCTTGCCGGAGCAGTGGACCAACCTCACAGCGCAGCCTGAAACATTCAGCCTCTGGGCATTTCTGGGAAGGAAGAGGTGTGGATCTGGAATTCTGCCCTTCTGGTGGTTCTGACAGCCCAGGTATTCAGTACTTGGGCTCAGACCTCATTTCCAGTATCACTTACCAGGACCCGCGGCCCGGAGGAGGCAGGGCTCCTACCTGGAGCCTCTCTTCTCTGCAGGTGGTGTTGGGAACCCTCGGGATCCAGCTGGAAGAAGAAAGAGACCCTTAGCTGCCTCTCTGCCTCATCGCATCACAGCATTTAAGTCGGCCTGTGCCTGGTGCCAAGTGCAGCTTCAACCTGCTTATCTCTTTACCCATCCACCCAGCTAACCAACTCCCCTGTGCCAGGCACCAGGCAAGGGCAGTGTTGAAAAATGGAAATAAGTAAAACTTGGTTTTCGGAATTTACATGGAAGAGATGTATAAATCAGTCATCAGGTCCTTGTTGCTACCTGTTTGCAATGCTCACTCTTCCCTGTGTCACAGGGATAGGTTTGTTCTTGTCTTTCAGGCCTCTATTTAACTATTACCTCTCTAACAGCTTTCTCCCATGACTCAGTTTAGACAGTCTCATCTCCCCACAGCACATTAGCCCTGTACTTCCATTGCTTTTAATACCTGTTAATTAATTTTTTTTGTACTAGGAATTGAACCCAGGGCACTTAAGCATTGAGCTACATCCCCAGAACTTATTTTTTAAATATTTTTTCAGTTGTTGATGGACCTTTATTTTATTTATTTATATGCATTACTGAGAATTGAACCCAGTGCCTTACACATGTGAGGTAAGCGCTCTACCACTGAGCCACAACCCCAGACCCTCCCCAGAACTTTTTTAATACTTTATTTTGAGACAGGGTCCTTCTGCTTCAGCCTGCCAAGTCTCTGAGATTATAAGCATGTGCTACCACATCTACCTAATTTTTCTCTTTTCAGTGTGTGTGTGTGTGGGGGGGGCACTGGGGATTAAGCCTAGAGGCATTCTACAACTGAGCTACATCCCAAGCACTTTTTTTTTTTTTTTTTTGAGACAGGGTCCTGCTAAATTGCCCAGGCTTGGGATCCTCTGGCCTCAGCCTCCAGAGTAACTGGATTACAGGTGTGCGCCACTGTGCCTGGCTTAACTTTCCATTGTTTATCAGCCTCCACTAGAACACAAGCTCCATGGGGATCCTGTCAGTTTTGTTTACAGTAGGTTTTTTTCTGAGCCTAATAGTGCTCAGTTTAGATACTCATTCAATTAAATGTTTGAGTAGGTACACTATAAACAGGCACTGGGGCCCAGAGAAACAGGTCTGAAGACTTCCTGGAGGAGTCAAGAAGTAGGAAAGCGGGGCTGGGGTTGTTGCTCAGCGACAGAGTGCTCGCCTAGCACGTGCGAGGCCCTGGATTTGATCCTCAGCACCACATAAAAATAAATAAAAATAAATAAATTGTTCCAACTACAACTAAAAAATACATGTTAAAAAAAAAAAGAGAGAAAGAAATAGGAAAGGATAGTTCAGGAAGAAAGATGCCTCGCAGGCCTTTGAGGTATCTGTGTGTTCTGACCCTTTCCCTCAGTCCCAGCTATAGGCACATTCTTGTTGCCTTTTCCAGATCCCAAAGACCTTTCCTAGCCCCTTAGCCCTGGACCTTTGAACCTCCCCCCAAGCCAGTGTCCAGGCCCTTTACCTCCAGGCCCTCAGGGTTAGGTGGGTATCTGCTGGTGCAGTTGCTAACTCCAGCGACCTTGGTCACGTAGAGGAACGGCTGACCTTCCTGGGCCTGGGGACAGCTGAGCTCCAGCACTCCCCGGCTGATGGTGCTGGGGCCCAGGTTGATGAGCTGAGGGGGGAGAGCACAGTTACCGTGAGAGGGATAGCAAAGCTTCTGCCTCACTTGAGACCTGGTCACCATGGCCCCAGTGTACCCTGTTGTAGGCTCCCATCTCAGGGGCCAAGGGCAGAGATGAAAACCTCATCCTCCTCAGTCCACACTGGGGGGGCCACACTCCATCTCTCCTTTCTACTTAAGTCACTCAGCAGCCATCTAGCCTCTGGCGGCCTCTCTCCACCCACTGCAGTCACTCTTTCTACCCTCCTGTCTTCCTCACTCTGGTCCCAGCCACCGTCACTCATGCTAGCTCCTCCTTTCAGTCATTCACTCTGGCCCACCCTCCACCCCTCTCCCCTGGCCAGCCTACCAGCTCTCCTCACCTCATAGACATGGTGGACGGCAGGGCCCACGTCCCCCTCCTTCTGAGGCTGGTCTCGGGGATGCCAGTCACTCACTGGGAAGAACACAGCCTCAGGCTTGGAGACACTAAGGAGTAGGGTGGTTTAGAGGAGGGTGGAAGGGACCCCATGCGCATCCTTCCCCTTGAGTCTGTCACCCCTCCTAGTAGATCCCCATTTGCCTGGATACTGACCCATTAAGGGAGACCTGGGCCTGAGCCTCAACAGAGAGCTGGAAGGAGACCACATCGCTCTGTGAGTTGTTGAGATTCTTGCTGTGGATGGAGGCAAGACAGGTGGTGCTGGAGCCCCGCCAGCGGGGATTCCCTGACCCCCAAGGGCTTGGCCTCCTGCACCAGCCTCCCTCCTCCCTGCCCAACCCACCCCCTACCTGAGGATCTGGAAGTCAAACTGGATGGTTTTCTTTGTGTCTTGTAGGTGAGGGACGGTGAACCGAAGGCCACCCCAGAGCTGTGGAACAGGGAGGACAAAGGGGCAGTTCCATAGTGCGTTTGTGTTGCTCCAATCCCAACCCTCTTTCCCCGTGCCTTGGTTATGTTCTGAACATGCTGGTCACTGTCCAGTGGTCCTCTCTCCCTCCTGCCCCTTCCTATTCTGTCTCCAACTTACACTGGCTCCTGCCTTCATGGGGTTGCCTAGGTCGCACACCAGCAGGCGGCTCTGGTTCCCGGTAGAGTAGTCACAGCTCAGGCTGGAGAAGTTCTGGAGGTGGGGGTGGGTACAGGTCAGGTTTGGGTGCTCCCCTGGTGTTCCCCCCAATCCCCGCTTGAGAATCCCCTCTCACCCCTGGGTGTCTGACAAGTCCTGAGTACTCAGCCTCTGGAGGGGCTGTGACCCGAAGCTCAGCCTCATAGGCACCTCCTTCACCCACATTCTGGGCGTGGAAAGTCAGGTTCAGGGCATTCTTGTCACCTAGGTACACGTGGTTTTGCTCCCTGAAGAGGGAACAAGGAGAAGAAACACTAGAATTAATTCTGAAACCAGGACAATGGGTAATAATAACAATAACAACAAAAATAAAGTAGTAATAGACACCATTAACTGAGTTCCGACTCTACAGTGGGCACTAGGTTTCATGCTTTATGTAATGATCACGTTTTCATCTCCAAAAACTCAAATAGGGGCTGGGGGTATAATTCAGTGACAGATTCCTTGCCTATTGTGCGAGGGCCTGGGTTTGATCCCTAGTAATGTATGTGCATTCACACACACACACACTCACACACACACAAAACCCCAAACCAAAAAGTCAGAGGAATAAATGCTGTTATTCTCACTACACAAATGAAGCAGTTGAAGCTCAGAGAAGTTCAGTACCTTCTCAAGATCTACTTTTCCTATGTCCCTATTCTACTTTTCCAAGTGGTAAGACATCTGGAACACCCTAGCTCGTTGTCAGCCCCCACATACCCAAATACTTCCAGCTGTAGGTCAGGCACACAGATGTTGTCTTCTCCACAGTCCAGCAAGATCTGAGCCTGGAGAGCAGGACACCCTTAAGATGGGGAGTTTCTACTGTTCCTGGGCTACAGGCTCCCCACTCCCCAGGGCCTTAGCCCCTTGTGCCCAGGCCTCTGTCCTCCTAGGCCCCCTCCCTTCCTGGTCCTCACCTTATCTTCTATCCGGCTCTTGCTCTGGTAATGTAGGACGGGCCGGAGGCCATGGCTGTCCACGGGGGCTTGAGGGTCCAAGGAGAAGTTGAGGGCGATGTGAATGGGGGAGAGTTTATCTCGGAATTCTGACTCATTCTGGGGCCGGGGAGAGAGTTCTCAGGGTCAGGGGGTATCCGGGGGCTTGGCAGCCTGGCTTCTTAGCCTCTTATTTCCCACTCAGGGACCCAAGTCTGACTGTTCTAACTATTTCAGAGTCCCTGGCAGCCCGGTTCTCAGCTCCTCAAACAGAGAGGCCTCCCTTTCTCAGCCAGGCCCCCTCCCCACGAGCCCCAAGCCCTTCCAGGAACTTTCCCAATGTCTTCCTCCAGAAGGGGCCTCAGTTCCATGTGGTACCCCTCCCTGACCAGTCCACACCCACCCCCAGGGCCATACCCTGAGGTAGATCTTCATCTCTCTGCAGTCCTCCCGGGCCCCATTCTGGATGAGCAGTATCTGGGTCAGTGTCGCCTGTCTGGAGGCCAGGAAGAGTGCCCGCCGTACCCCTCCCTTCTGCTTCTGCCAGTCCAGCTGGAGCTCCACCGCAAAGCCTGTACCCCGGGACTAATAAGTTATGGGGATCTACCTGTCCCTCCCGGTCCACTTAAGAGAGAAAAGAGGTACCCGGTCTCCAGCCCCGACATCCCACCCTAGGGCCTGAGAGACCCAGGCAGTCTTCTCACCAATGGAGTTGGGGACATGTTTTCCAGAAGCATTGAGGCAGAAGCTAAGGTTGATACTGGAGAAAGACCAAGGAGAAAGCTGGTGAACATACTAGTACAGGCATCCTCTCTGCTCCCACCTCTGGGCAGACCCTGGGTAGAACACCCCCACCGTCCCCTTCCTAAGTCAGATTGGTCTCCCATCCTAGATCCCAGACACAGATCTCTGGAACCTCCTAGACCCAGCTCACCAGGATACAGGGTTCCCTTCCAAGCTGCAGCTGCGTTCTTCTGGGTTGAACATTGCGGGGAAGATGGTGAGGGAGGCACTGGCAGACACGATGGGGCGACCCCTGCAAGGGTGGGTATGGGACAAATAGAATTAAGGCTCCTCTGAAATCTGTGCCCAAGCCCCAAAATGCTAGTTTCCCCTAGAGTGATTTTCCTTTCTATTTTGGTGATACTGGGGATTGAACCCAGGAGTCTCTACGACTGGGCTACATTTCCAGCCCTTTTTTGTGGGAGGAGGTACTGGGGACACTGAACCATATCCCTAGCCCCCTTTATATATATATATATTTATATTTTTATATATATATATATTTTATTTTATATATATATACATATATATATATATTTTTTTTTCCCTAATTTTGAGACAAGGTCTTATTAAGTTGCTTAGGGCCTCACTAAATTGCTGAGGCTGGTCTGGAACTTGTGACTTTCCTGCCTCAGCCTATCAACCTGCTGGGATTATGGTAATGAGCCACCACACTGGGCTTCTCCAACTCTTTAAAAATTGTTTTAAGGTGCTCTGATTGAACCCAGGGGCTCTATACCACTGAGCTACATCCCCAGTCCTTTTTGTTTTGAGACAGGGTCTCACTAAGCTGCTGAGGGTCTCACTAAATTGCAGAGGCTTGCCTGAACTTGCAATCTTCAAGTCCTCCTGCCTTAGCCTACCAAGTTGCTGGAAATCAAAGGTACCAGTCCTTTTTATTTTCTGTTTTGAGACAGGGTATTGCTAAGTTGCTGAGGCTGGCCTGGAACTTGTGATTCTCCTGCCTCAGCCTCTTGAGTCACTGGGATTATAGGCCTGCACCACTGCACCTGGTCTATAATTTTCATAATTTAGCTCTAAGGAGAAATTTTCATAATTTAGCTCTAAAGAGAAATTCCCAGTTCCCAGTTTACCAGGCTGCTGTCCCCCCCTTAGAGTTCGTACCTGTATACAACAGCCTTGTCCACGCCAAAGGACCCCACAATCAGATCTGCAAAAAGTCAAGAAACCACCCCTTATAGCAATCCCCAAATCAGGATCTTTTCTTGCTAACCACCTCTAGTGTCATTGCTCCGAGGCTGATTGAGGGAACAGCGCCATCTTGTGGCAGCATCCCACAACTGCATCTGGAAGCTTAGGAAGAGAAGTTGGTAGGGGTTTGTGACCAGGGAATTGGGAAGGGGCCTCAGGTAAAACTCACCAGGGTATCCGTTGCCATCCAGGTCTCGGCCTCCTCGAAGAGCAAAGCCAAAGAAGTTTGGGGCATGCCCAGTTGCCCACAGGGGCTGCAGAACCTGGGAAGGCTTAGAGCCCAGTCCTCCTGGGCCCCCAGGGAATACAAAAACTACCCCCTGCTGGGTTTCCCCACCAAAGGGAGCCCCAATGGCCACATCTGCAAGACACAACATAAATCAGTCAGCAGGCCAGGAATCCAGGGGTCCAAATTTCTACCAATAGACCTCAGTACCCAGTATCCTATTTTTTCTCATCTGTCAACCCCTATCCCTACTCCTCCATCAAACCTCAAGATCCAGACATTGGAATTAAAGTCTACACCCCTCCTTGGAAAATCACAGGGCATTTGGTGTCTTAGCTGAAGGACACCTTCCCAATTAACCCCTCCTAACTGAGGCCCCCCCAACTCGTCCTTAGTGCTCTGAAACCATTTTACTTACCATTGTAGCCATCCTGGTCCAGGTCCCCCAAGGGGGTCAAGGAGCTGCCAAATCTGCCAAATTCATCATGGCCAGTGAGGGTAATGGTGGGTGTGGGCTCTATGCCAGCCAGGTGCTGCAGGTATACATACACTCTGCCCACTTCCTGAGGCCGCCCATCAGCTGTCCGCTCCATGAGTAGGGGTGCCCCCACTAGTAGGTCATCCAGCCTGGGGAAGAGAAGATCCCGGCATCCTAATACCCTGTCTTGCCACTCCCCTCCCATCCTAGTGCCAGAAATCCAGACATCCTGGGTCCCCAGGCTCTTTCCTAACCACCAGGAGACCTGAGGTCTCCAGTTTAGCTCTCAGCTCTGTCCATGTTCCTGAGCAAGGGGAACACAACCATGAGCGAGAGAAAAAGCCCTGGAAAAACACTGCTTGCAGTCCATCCCAGCCCCACTCTTCTCTCCAGGATCTAGTCAGGGCACCATGGTGTGCCCTTCCCACTACTCACCCATCTCCATTGACGTCAGTGGCAGCCACTGCATAGCCAAAGTAGGAGGCCATCTGGGGGAGGGGCAGGATAAAGGGGCAGCATGAGATCAGAATGTGGGGTCAATAACCAGGATTAAGGGACAATCCAGAGGCTGCCAGGAGGCGGGGAGTTTGATGTTATTGGGTCAGGGTTGAGGCTTGGCTGGTAGTGAGACAAGCCAGTGTGGGGGTGGGGAGTGTCCTTACCTGTTCCCCTGAGAAGTTGTAGAGAGATCGGATATCTGATCCATTAAGGATAGTGACCTGGGGGTGAAGGGATAGGCCCATTATTCCTGAACGTCTCACAATTGAAGGACAAATGGGTACAGGGTGCCGGAAAGCAGGCATTCCTCAGACATACACTAATGGCCCCTAACTCCTTCATGAGCTTTGCCCTCCCATTTCCAACTCTATGCCGGGTGGCTCTGCCCGTGGGCGCTTACCAACTACTGATAGATTTCACATTTTTCTGTCTGTGGTCCTTCTCTACCACTAGAATAGTGAGTAGCACATCAGTGGGGACAGGAGCTTAGTTTTGTTCTTTGCTTTCGCCCCAGAACCAAAAATAGTGCTTGGCGAGTAGCAGAGTGTTGTAACTATGACTGAATGCACACTGGGGCCTCAAACCCAAGATGTTTAAAACCTAAGTCATCCCTCATCCTCTAGTTCCCCCCAAACACACTCATGCTTCTCCTATATTCTCCTTAGTAACTGGCCTTCCCAGTCTCTTGGATCCTGCTCTTCTCTACTCTTGCTGCAGTGACTCAGGCGTGTGCCTTCCTCCCAAAATGCTGGACAGCCAGTATCCTGGCCTCCTGCTCCCACTTTCATCCCCAGTGCAGTAGGACTGGCTGACTGCCCTAGAGTGAGTTGAAGATGGTCACTGTATCTACTGCCTACTCTCAGCTTCTTGCCTGGTTCACCAAGGCACTGGAGAATCTGGTCCTAATTTACCTATTTGTTTTGTTTGTTTTCTCCGAAATCTTTCCTTATTCTCCTTCTCCTCAATCAGCTCATGAAAATGCTAAACTATCTTGACATTTTTCTTTTTCCTTTTTTTCCTGTCTCCTTCATGCTCCTTCCAAAGATGTCCTCTCATCTCATCTCTGCTGAATCTCCACCCCATCTCTAGAATGAAATTATTATTTGCTCTTTACTGTTACATCACCTTGACTGGTTTTCTGAAATTTATCGTTAGTGCAGAAAGTATGTTGACTTTGGAAAAAGATAGACCCGTTGTGTGTGTGTGTGTATTGGGGATTGAATCCAGGGGTGCTCTAACTCAGAGCCACATGTCCAGTCATTTTTATTTTTTTTTGAGACAGGTTCTTAATAAGTTGCCAAGACCAATCTCAAACTTGCAATCCTCCTGCCTCAGCCTCCGGAGTAGCTGGGATTACAGGCATGCACCACTGTGTCCAGCTAGACCTGGTTTTAAATTTCTTTCCAGCCATTCATTAGCTGGGTGAGCTTAAGCAATTTACTTGATTTCTTAGAACTCCAGTTTTGTCACGTGTAAAATGTGAATGATAACATCTACAGCATAGACTTGTTGTGAAGAACAGCATCAAGAATGGACAGTGTCTGCTGCATTGAGGAGCTCCACCCCAGAAGAGAATTATGTGTGTCTTATCTCATGTACTTGATTAGAACCATCTTATGAGATGGGGTGTGATGTCTTCTTCATTTTCTTGTCTCTTCCCTCCCCTCAATACAGGCTGTTCATTGAATGACGGCCTATGGCATTCTTATCTGTACAGGCACTTGTCTTGGTCTAATAATAACAGCTGCCCGTTGTACCCTGCCTAACAATTCACTAAGTACTTTCACATGCGTTATCTCATTTCACCCACATAAGAGCCTTGTGAGGTCAGAACTATTATTATCCCATTATACAGAGAAGAATGAGGCTTAGAGAGGTTAAGCAGGGAGCAGGATGTGAATAAAAACAGAATAATTTATCCAGGGTAAGTGCCAGAACTTGAACCCAGGTCTGACTCTAAAGCCTGTGGTGTTCTGGCCCACTTTTTGAGCCCTCACAAACTGCTGAGCATGGTTCTTTGTGCTTAGCCAGCACAGGGGTGTGGGGGGCAGGTCGGGTCTTACGTAGCCATAGGTGAGGTTCCCTTTGGGCACACCAGCGACAAAGTCTGTGAAGAGAAGGCAGAGTTGTGGGCTGAGGCAGAGGAAGGGGAGGAGCAGATGGTGAATGTTAGAATTCTGGGGCCCCTATTTCCCCCCACCTTGGCCCATCCTGGGGACACACTCACCTTCTGTGTCATCACCACTGAATTCACCCACAGCCACAGAGTATCCTGGGGAACAGGGTGGGTGAATGTTAGCATTTATGCTTTGGGACTCCTCTGCCCTGACCCACCCTTAATCCCTTCCCCTCCCCTGCTGGGCCTTCATGGTCAGTCTGTACCCGACAAGTACAGCAGAGGGGCTGGGGGTGCCTGAGCGGGAGAAGGGAAGCAAGGGTGTAGGGGAGGACAGGGCCCTTGAGTGCTCCCCCTGCCATCCCCTCCCCACCTGCTCACTCACCCAGGTAACTGTCATCATAGATGGAGCTGGCCTGTCGAGTCTGCAGCTGCCCCTGAACCAGGTTGATCAGGTACTCTGGGTAATAGGACTCCGCAATCTGCTGCTGAGTGGCAGACAGGATCTGGCCTGGGGAAGGGTGGTGTGGAGGGGATGGATGGAGGGCAGGTGGCTGAGGGGACTGCGGAGGCTGGCCAGGTAGGATGCCATGTGTGGATCGCGGAAGGGAAGCGTGTAGAGGGTGATGGAAAAAGGAGGACTGGCGGGGGCGAGGAGACAGAGGCAAGGAGGACTAGAGACTCTAGGCTGGAGTGGGGATAGGACCAGCGCCAGGGACCTCGAATGGACTAGAGAAAGGACTTACCTTGCCAGAAATAGCTCCCTGGTCCACCCAGGACCACACGGCCAGTCTGTGGGGGAGGGAGGTGAGTCCAACATCTGATCCTGACCTCGGGGTCCACTGCCCACCACCCCTTCCTCCAGCGCACCCTCTCACCTTGGTGAACTCGGCACTGAAGCCCCCTTGGCAGTAACCCTGCCCTGCTGCCCAGCTGAAATCTGTGAGGGGAGATGGCGATGAGAGCAAGCCCCACACAGATGGGAAGGAGAGGGGAGGGAGCCAGGGGAAGGGCCTCAGGCTGGGTCAAGGTGCACAGGCTGAGTTGGGGGGCTGTGGGGAGTCAGCCCTGAGCACAGGAGAAATTCTCATGGAGATGGCAGAGTTGGCACACAGGTCTTCCCTCACCCCTACCTGAGCGGCAGGGTGCATACTCCAGAATGCGGGTGAAGTTATCCGTGGAGAGGTAGCAGGTGCCCACAGGGTCACTCAGTGGCTCCTTCTCTGTGCGCCAGCTGTACAGTGGAGCACATGCCTGCGAGGACCAGGAGGAGGGGGCTTTAGGTTTAGTCCAGTAAGGGCCTTCCTCCCTCCCTCCAGGCCTGGCCTTACTCCACCACCACCTCTCCCCCAGCTGTCACACCAGGTCCTCTGGCCCCTCACCAAGATGGAGGAGCCATGGGCTCGAACGGTCGCTCCGAACCACTGCAAGGACTTATATTCCACAGGCTCCTCTCCCTCTGTACTGGACTCCAGCATCCGGGAGCCTTGGGGAGGTGAGAAAGGGAAGTCTTGCTGGGTCTTGAGCTATTGAGCTCCAGGGCAGCCACTGCCCTCGGCTGGGGATGCCCAGCACTTTCAAGCCCTGAGCTCCCGTGACTTACTGGGAAAGGGTAAGCGGAGAAGAATCTTTAGCTTATGTTGTGTGCAGACTCAGCCCTCTTCCACACACATACACACACACACACACACACACACACACACACACACACCTCACACAGGGGTTTCTAGAGTTGCCTCCCCAGGGTCCCCCAGTTTCCTCCCCCTGCTGAGACAGGATACTTGCAGTGGAGTGGGGCAGGAAGGTGATAGGGAGACTGGCTTTCCCCAAACCCAGGGTGTAAGTATGGCTGCACTTCTTGGTCTGTACCTGGGCCTATGTCGCTAACAGGATCCTCCTCACAATCTTTCTTGACATTCCTCTAAACCCAACCTCTGCTCTCTATATGACCACCTTTCTTATTCTTTTTTTTTTTTGCACCGGGGATTAAACTCAGAGGCACTTGACCACTGATCCAATCCTCAGCCCTACTTTGAATTTTATTTAGAGACAGGGTCCCACTGAGTTGCTTAGCTCCTTGCTTTTGATGAGGCTGGCTTTGAACTCATGATTCTCCTGCCTCAGCCTCCTGAGCTGCTGGAATTACTATTGTGCCTGGCCTTTCTTATTCTGATTTTTATCATGTAGACTTTTTTGGGGGTATTGGAGATTGAATTCACTAAGCTATATCCCCAGCCCTTTTTATTTTGAGACAGGGCTTCACTAAGTTGCCTAGGTTGTCCTCCAATTTGGGATCCTCCTGCCTCAATCTTCAGAGTAGCTGGGATTACAGGGGTGTAGTACCATGCCTGGTTTCTTTTAGGCTTTTAAAAATCAATCTGTTGGGGCTGGAGCTGTAACTCAGCATAGAGTACTTGCCTCGTACACGTGAGGCACTGAGCTTGATTCCCAGCACCACATCTGAATAAAAATAAAATAAAGGTCCATCAACAACTAAAACATAAAAAATTTTTTAAAAATCAGTCTGTTTAGGGACTGATGGTATAGCTTAGTGGCAGCACATGTGCCTAGCATGCACAAAGCTTTGGGTTCCATACCAGCATTGCAAAAAACAAAACAACACAACCGGAACAAAACAGTCTTGTTTCATGATTCTTAACTCCACTGTTTCCAACTTTTTTTTTTTAAATATTTTTTTAGTTGTCAATAGACCTTTATTTTATTTATTTATATGTGGTGCCGAGAAACAAACCTGTGCCTCACACATGCTGGGCAAGTGCTCCATCACTGAACTACAACCCCAGTCCTGTCTCCAACTTTTCAAGTTTGCTTTTTTTTTTTTTCTTTTTAGTGGTACTGGGGGTTGAATCCAGGGGTATTCTATCACTGAGCTACAGCCCCAGCTCTTTTTATTTAAAAAAAATATTATTTTTTAATTGTACACAATACCTTTATTCTGTTTATATTTATTTTTATGTGATGCTGAGGATCGAACCCAGAGCTCACACGTGCTAGGTGAGAGCTCCACCACTGAGCCACAACCCCATCTTATTTTTTGAGACAGAGTTTCACCTGCACTTGGCCTCCTCCCCATCCTTTTTTTTTTTTCCAGAGCCGGGTTCACATTTAGGGGCTCACATATACAAGGAGAGTCTTTTACTGCTATATGTTCTCTTCCTTTCCCCTCACCCAAGTCTATCTCTGGAGATAGACTGCTGCAGTTCATATCCTTGCTGCACCATTTACTAGCTGTATGACCTTGGACAAGTGATATAAACTGTCTCCTCACTTGTACAATGGGGACAATAATACTTCATACAGTTGTTGGGAGGATTAAGTGAGTTAATATTATGCAAGTGGTCATAACAGTGCCTGGTACAGAGCAAGTGCTCTGAGTATTAGCTGTCAGTCTGTGGCTGCCTTCCATCCATCTCTGGGCCTCAGGACTTTGAGCAACTTGAGGGCAGTGGCTGAATCATCTTCCAATTCTGCAGCAGGAGCACAGTGCCTGGCATGCACTATCACTTAGTCAATGCTTAGTTAAAGGAACTGAATAGTGTGTGAGACTCTCCCTGTCTTTGTCTGTGTTATAGCCCTGGCTTCTCGGAGTTGTGGGTGATTCAGTGGAAATGAGAGCCACATGTTTCTGAATCATGCCCGCCCTCCCTGGGCTGGGCTGGGAACGTGGAGCGAGTGCCATGGGGAGCCACTGCTTGGAGCTGGAGCACCAGAGCTGCCGCTGGGAGGGCGTGGCCTCAAAGCCCAGCAGGCTGCACCCCTGGCTCCAGGCCCCACCCAGGCCCCGCCTCCAGCTGCAGTCTCACCCCTCCTTCAATCTCTCCCTGAACTGTACCAGCCTACCTTTGCTGTCAAATTCGATTGGGGTGCACTGTGCAGGGCTGGCAGCCCAAGGACAGAAGTAGACGGCACCACCCTGCAGCACTCCAGGCTGGCTGGTGTTGGCCTTGGGTGCTCCCACCAGCACACTGACCCTGGGGAGGGGAAAGGAAAGGCAGTTTAGGTTGGCTCCTAGGTCGTGATCTGTCTCTGAAGGCAGGAAGGACCCAGGCCTCCGGGCCAGGGATGGCTGAGGGTGGGGTAGATGCCCCCTGGGTTGTATTTATATCTCAGAAGATGCCACAGATGCCAGAGGCATAGGCTGGAGTCAGGCGGTCCCCATGTGCTGCTGTCACTAACCCAACCCCTCCCCTCCTCCCACCACTCTCTCTCCTACCTTCCCCTATTAATAAAGAAAGGAAGAACCAGAGTCAATTGTAGGAAGGGGAAGGGGGGCCAAAGGGCCTAGACCCCAGTTTCTCTATCATCTCTATCTGCCTGCCAAGATTAGATGCACAGCCCAGCTGAAGGAAGAGCTCCGTTGTAGAGCGCATGCTCAGCATAGATTCTGGGTTGGATCCCCAGGACCAGGGGAAAAAAAAAAAAAACGGTACATAATAATCAAATGCAACAAGTGGCCTCTGATTGAAAATTGAATCAGGGCTGGGGATGTGGCTCAAGCGGTAGCGCGCTCACTTGGCATGCGTGCGGCCCGGGTTCAATCCTCAGCACCACATACCAACAAAGATGTTGTGTCCGCCAAAAACTAAAAAATAAATATTAAAAAATTCTCTCTCTCTCTCTCCCTCTCTCTCATTCTCTCTTAAAAAAAAATCAATCAAAAGAAAAAAAATTTTAAAGGGACAAATTAGATGCACAGTCCTGGAACCCCAGACTCCTCTGGAGCCTGAGTCCTCTCACCTAGACTGTACTCCTTGTCACTAGCCAGATTGCTTCCCTGGGCCAAGACCCAGGCGTCCAGCTGCCCAGCCTTGGGGCGTGTAGGAGGAAAATGTGAGTCCTGGAAATCAGGCAGTAGAAGCAGAGAGAGGAACTGGAGGATGGTGAGACAGATTGTTCCCCTGAGCCTGGGTCTGCCCTCCCCCTGGAGCCTGCACTGGACAGCACCTTCCTGGCTAGGTTTCTGTCTCAGCCCTTGAACCCTTTTCACATACCAGCCCCACAGGACTGAATTCAAATTCAACTCAACTGCAAGCCGTGTTCTCCACATGGTGGCTCAGTTCTCCCCAGGGAAGTTAGTCCCTGATAGGTGTCCTATGTCATGGGCTGTTCATAGTTAATGTCCCAGACAATCTTCCTGCCTTCAGCTCTACCTCTGCCATCCCCAGGTCCCCTGCCTCCAAGGCTTCCATACAGCTCTCCTGGCTTTCTCCTCTAGGGTCTTCTGTGGGGACTTCATCCCATAGCCTGGGCAACTTGTCTGGGCTCCTGGGCATAAATAAGCCTTGGTCCCTGCTGTCCTCTTATATATGCCTCTGGCAACTCTTCAATCTCCGCGTCCTTTTGTCCCTTGTGCTGGCTCTCTTGGTTTAGGTTGTGGTGTCTCTTTCGGTTTCTGTCCCCATTCATCTTTCCGCACTCTCAATAGCCATTCCTCCCTGGACTGGAGGATCTTCCTCAGCCCTTTCAGTAGGAAAGCAGGCCCAAGAGGGGGATTGGGCAGAGGTCACAAAGGCTGGGGGTGTCTTCCAGGAGGACCAGCTATATTGAATAGGGGAGAGCTGAGGTCCAAAAGGAATACTAGATGGAGAGTAGGCCTGAGGGGACTAAAATGTGTGTGGGAAGGGGTCTATGAGGGTCAGAAGATGAAAATGGAGGAGAGGGAAGGCAGAGTCCAGAGGAATGGGAGAGGGGAGGCCGAAGAGAGAGAGTTCCTGAAGTTATGGGGAGTGGAGAGGGGAGGTTCCAGCTTTGGTTACCCTGGGGACAGGAAATGTTTACTGCCTGTAGCTTCCTGTCCTCACTTCTCCGTTTGTCTCCCACCCGCTGGGCCCCACCCCTCTCACTCAGACATTACATTCAGTTGGGGGTGGGAGCTAGCCACTCCAAAGGCACAGGAACCTGGTCAGTTGCAAGGCGAGGCTGGGGATCCCGAGAGGTTGTGTTGCCTCAGGGTTGGGAAAGGCGCTGCCTCAGAGAACTTGGTCACAGCCCTTAGGCTCCAGAAATCAGAAAGGGTTACCAACTGGAAACAGACCACTGGACCCGGGTCCAGGAGTTGAGGTCAGACCCTAGCTCAGCATGGGCCTGGGTAACACCAACACTGTGTCCTTCTTTCTCTGGGTTACTGCAGAAGTCTCACGAAGACAGGGACCCTGTTCCCACTCTCAATTTCTCTCTAACAGCCACTGTTCCTGGGGAAGAGCTGAGCTCCTGGGATGGCCTGAGGAGGAAGCTTGGAGATTAACAGGATTGGAAAGTGACAGACAGGCTTTACAAAGCTTGGTGACGCCCACAAGCCCTGACTATATGAAGGTTCAGGACACCTGTGTGCAGGCATGAGACACAGATCCTGACCTGCCATGCTGCCCATGGCTTGTACTTGAAGACTTGGCTGCTCTGCCATCCCTGGTCAACTCAACACCCACTCCCCTTCCCCCATGCTAAGTGAGATACCTAGAGCCTGGGATGCCATGTAAGTGAGTTTGTCCTTATTCCCCTTCTCCTGGTTCCTGCTTCCTAAATCCCATACAAGCTGGGTCCTCTTAAGGGTTCAAGAAGGTAACAATGGAGAGTCCTTGGGCCGTTTTCAATATTTAGAAAGCCTGGCGGAAATCATGCATTTACTGATAAGGCAGCCCAAGTTAATTAAAACTCCTAGTGTATTTGTTTTTGGCTAGAATTGTATCAGCTCCTGTGGGGAGATGATATCGCATGCTGGTCAGAAGTTCTGATTGGCAACTGTAGATGTTGGTTAATAAAAAGTGAGAAAACCCATTAATTATTCCTTACGGAATGCAGTTTGGCCGATAAACTTCCAAAATTGAGTCCAAGGGATGAAATAATTGCCATAATTTATTTCAAAGCCCAGAACCCTGAGATTCTAGATTTAGCCCTTGGAGACACATATTGTCACAACAGACACTGCAGAAGCACCCACTGGTTTTGACTGGTATAGTTGCCCACAGAGGTGCTGCAAAGGGAGGCCAGCTTGGTTCTGATGCTCCGTTAAGTTCAAAAGCTGCTGACCTAGGCCTGTGTCCTCTTTGAAAGAGGGGGTAAACTAAGTCACAGAGAAGTTAAATAATATGTCCAGGGTCACTCAGAATTCCTCCTAGCATAAGAATCAGAAACCAGGAATCCTGGTTTCTAGGCCAGAGTCCTGGTCCACACCAGAGCCAATTTATCCCCTCTTCTCCTCCTCTCTCCTTCTCCACTATCTCCATAGCAGGCTTCTGATTAACCAGTTCCCGTTCAATACTCAGTTACTGTTTCACTCTGATGGCCTGACAAGGTCAGGTGGCGAGCAGCAAGTGGATCGGGGCCCAGTTCCTATAGGTCCTGTGGGCCCAGCATTGGCCAGACCAGAGGGGGACACCTATTCTGAAACCTCAAATATATGCCTGGGGTTCACAAGGAGCTTGCCTGGTTGGCTGGGGGGAAGAGCTGCCTCAAGCTGCTTAGCTCAACTTGCTGAGCTCAGACTGTCTACCTCTCAAGCTCTCAAGTGTCCTGGGCCAAGTAGCGTCCCTCTAAAGTTTTAGATTCTCTTCCCATAAAGTGATGGGTTGCCCTTGAGTGGTCCCTAAACTAACTTCTAGTTCTAAATTTCTAGGACTCCTGACAACTCAGTTTTTATATATATCAAACACGGCGATAATGCTTTCTCTACTCCACATGAGGGTTTTTGTAACAATCCAATGGAGAAATCGATATGAAAGTGCTACAGGAATGTGAAGGACTTTTATTACTATCATGGTTACAAGCAAGTACTAAAAGCAGGTAATGGAGGAAAACATAAACAAAGAACAAGCCAGTGGCCAGGGAGAAGAAAACCATAACAGAAATCAGCTACCCAAAAATCTCATGCCTCCCATGTACTGATCACTCTGTAGACCAGGTGTCTCATATATTTTGTCTCTTTTAGTTCTTAGAATAAGTTAGGCATCTGATGTTTATGGGAAAGTCAGGCTCCAAAGGTTTACAGAACTTGGCTCTACATGACAGTTTTTTTCCCCCCCTTTGGTACTGTGGATTGAACCCAAGGGGCACTTTACCACTGAACTATAGATCCAGCCCTTTTTATTTTTTATTTTGAGGCAGGGTCTTGCTAAATTGCTGAAGGTCTTATTTGGTTGCCCAGGCTGGCCTTGAATTTGCAATCCTCCTGCCTCAACCTCTTTGGTCGCTGGCATTACAGGTGTGTTCCATGATGCCTGGGTACACATGACAGTTCTTTTTTTGTGTGTGTGGTGATGGGGGTACCAGGGATTGAACTCATGGGCATCAACCACTGAGCCACATCCTCAGCCCTATTTTGTATATTATTTAAAGACAGGGTCTCACTTAGTTGCATAGCACCTCACTATTGCTGAGGCTGGCTTTGAACTCACCATCCTCCTACCTCAGGACTGCCCACCCTCCAGCTGCTGGGATTACAAGCATGTGCCACTGAACATGGCAGTTCTTTAACTGGGAAGTGGTAGGGACTCACACCCAGGACTGCCTGACTTCACATTTTGCTTCTACCTGCCATGCAACCTCTGAGATGCTTTCCCTGTCCTCTGATGCTATTTTACTGTACTGCATGAAAGGTGATGCAGAAGAGAGACCAAGAACACTCAGGTCCTTCCACTCTGGCTGTGGTCCTAAATGAGTGGCTATATTGTCTCAAGGGTAGGGAAGGAGGTCAAAGGCCCAGCTGTGGTGGGAGGAAAGTCACAGAGGAGGCAGAATATTACAAGTGCTACTCTAAGAGGGTATTGCAGGGAGAAAAAGAGAGGGGGAGGAGTGTAAGCTGGACACCTGGGTTCTCTTGGGAGGGGAGATGAGCAGAGGGGAGGTGAAGGGAGGAGAATGCTGGGCCCTGTTTTAGAAGAGGGCTTCAGGGACTGAAAGATCAGGGCCAGGGGCCAGACAGACAGCTAGGGGACCAGGAGTGTGTGAAATCCAGATGTTTTAGAAGAATGTTTTAAAAGGGAAATGACACTCTTGCATTGGGGTGGGGAGGGCAGGGGAAGGTTAAAAACCCTGATCAGTGAAGAAGACCCCATTCCCTCCCTCCCACCCTCCTCTATTCCATTAGGATTGTGGTAAGAAGTTTGAGGGGGCCTTGGGGAGGCAAGGCCTGGCAGAGGTTCCAGGCCAGGGTGATGCAATGGGGTTTGGGCAAGGGGCCAGGGAGGTGGGGTGGGGACCTTGAAAAGCCCAGATCTAACAGCTGGGGCCTAAAATCTTTTTTTTTTTTTTTCCCCAGCCCAAGTCCCCCAGACAAAGGAGATGTTTGCTTCCCTCCCCAATTGAATTAGCTAGATTAGCCCCTTTTCTCCAAAAATTAAAGAAAGTGAGTAGAACTCAGGTAATGGTATCATGTGCAAAAACAGTTCACCTCTGATAGAGGTCCTATCACACCCTAGATCCTGGAGAATGAGAGGGGTGGTGAGCAGTGGGAAACTCAGAGCTCAGGAGGAGAAACAGACTGATTACTCCAGTCATAGTGGAGGATCAGGCATCTGGGGGTCCCTGGCCCAGTCAGGAGCAGTCACTTTCCTCTCCTCCCAGACCCCCAGTGCAAAAAGAAAATCCTTGTTCTAATGTGACTTTGGCTCTAACTGTGGTTTTTCCAAGCCAGTGGACACCCCATTTTCCAGGCACTCAGGGTCTGCGTCTGCTTGTCACCCTGAGGAATTGGTAATAAGAATTCTTTTTTGAGAACTTCAGGGTCTTTGAGTCCTTGCTTCTGGACCTTTTGGCCAGCGCGAGCCAGCATCTACCCAGCTTCCTACCCTAGTCCCAGAAGTTTTGGTCTCAGTTCAGCTTCAGCCACAAGCTACAGGAAATCAGCTTTTCTCTTCCTCCCAAGAGCTAAAGGAAGAGGGAAACCGCCCACCCCCCTTCACGCGCGCACACACACCCCTCCCGACACATCCGTGCACCCGCCCTTGACTGAGCCCGCCCCCAGCCCCAGCGCCCCCAGTGCCAGGGTCCCGGGACTCCCCCCAGGTTCTTGGAAACCCCGGTCTAAACAGAGATTGCGGGTGGAAGGCGATGCAGAAGACTGTGGAGAAAGGGGAGGGAGCCGCCATCCCCTTCCCAGGTTTTTCCCAAGTCTGAGTGAGGGGGAGGGATGAAGCTGGCCCCCATTTAACCTTCCGACCCCCTCCGCCTCTGTCTCCACTCTTACTACACAGAGCTCATCCAGCTTCTACCTTTTTCTTTCTGCACAATGCCCCACGAATCCCGAGGTTAGCCAGTGCCCCCCAAAGCCTTTCCTGGCCTCCGCGCCCCCTTTCCGCCCCCCGGTCCCCGTGCAACCCACAGATCTCAGCCCAAGACCCTCAGCTCCTCATTCATGTGCTCTCCTGTCTCCTGGCCTCGGGACTCCTGCTCAGACTCCTCCGGCTTCTAGCTTCGTGTCCTCTCCCCACCCGACACATGTCTCGCCACTGATCTCTCCCACACTCCAGGCCCCCCTGCACGCCCGCCACAGTTCCCTCCCTGCTCCAGCGCGGGCCCCCAACTCTAGCGTGGGCCCCCAACTCCAGCCCAGGTCCTTCCAAACTCCGCCCTCAAACTCAAGCTCGGGTCCCCTCCAGACCCCAGCCGCGTCCCCAGTCTCCAGGCGGCCCCCAACCCCCATCCCGCCGCCCACCCTCGTCACTCACCCGTCTGTTCCTGGCCGGTAAAACTCTACTGAGAAGCCGAAGTAGGAGCCCGGGGGCCCAGAGAGCACTGCTGGGGCCTCTGCGTCTAAGTTGAAGCCCCCGACCCTGGGTGGCGGCGGCAGCAGCAGCAGCAGCAGCAGCGGCGGGAGCAAGGGCGGCAGCAGCAGCGGCAGCTGGGCTCGGCGCCGGGGACCCCAGCGCAGTCGCGCCGCGTGGAGTGGGGACCCTGGCGTCCGGCTCCCCATAGCGCCAGCTCTTCCCTGTCCTGGGGCCACCGACCCGGAGCCGCTTCCTAAACCTCCCAGAGGCGAATGACTCAACGCGGGGAGGAGTTTGCCAAACTCCCGGCTGAGCCCTCCCCCCGCCGGCCGAGGGGGCTGGCGGGGGGGCATTCCTGGGTCCTCGGGACGCCGAGCCCGCGCCCCCCACCCCAAAGGGGCGTGGGGGGGCCGCACCTCTCCACCCCCTCTCCCCAGCCCCAGCTGGAGGCCGGGTGTCTGGCGGGGTCAGACTGGGCGGGCTCGCGCTCTCCCCCTCCCCTCGCGTCCCCTCCTTCCTCCCCCTCCTTTCCAGATGTACAACGTAAACGCTCGGAAAAGGAGTCGGAAAAAGGGAGCGGAGAATTTCCTAATGAGGAAAGGAATCACCTCTGGAGGGCGGAGGGAGCCTGTGTCTGGTGTGTGGGGTCTCCCTCGCTTCTTCAGGGAGGACACTTTGGGGGTCTAAAGAGATAGGAGATTCCTCTGGCGTCTGGCCAACTGGGATTCCCCCTTGTCTTCCGGGGCCACCGGGTGTCTGGGTTCCGGCCAGCTGGATTGGGGACTCGGCAGTCAAGGTACAGAGCGCTCCCAGTGAGCCTGAAAGTGGCTCCTGAGTTCCGCTGCCACTCCCCTCCCCCTCCAAGCTGCTAGAATTGAAACCCCACGAGTCTGGGGTCATTCACCAGCAGGATTCCGCCTCAGGTCTCCCACCTGGTTGTAGGGTATGGAAACCTCTGGGAAGCCCCTTCCTTGGATCTGGCAGTTGACGAAACTTGGAAGTGGTTGGCCCCTCAGTACCTTGATCAGACTGGCCTGATTCCTACAGGGCCTGGGGAATTATGGAAGATGATGGTGGTGTTGAGGGGTGTCTTACAGAGGGGCCCAACCTTCAGTTTCTATTGACTCTAAACTTTGGGAGCTGGAACCCAGACCCCTTATGCCCAGATCCCTTGTGGAAGTACAGGAAGGGTCTGTCCTACAGGAAGTCAGTGACCCCCTGCCCATCCCTTCCCCCAGCTCTGGCACTGTGTGATGAGATCACCTTTCAGGACTCTAGTCTTTATCTTAGTCTGGGGGAGGGGGATCAAGGAGCCTAGATTCTCTCCTAACCCCTTCTCCTTTTCAGTCCCTTTCCTGTCTTTTTCCTCCAGAGTCTTCTTCCAGGATAATACACCCCCAAAGTCAAACCCTGATCACTGTCTTTCTCTGTTTTCTGCCAGATTCTAACCTGGGAGGCTCAGAATAAAAGTGCCCACAGTCAACAGTTTTCTTCCTGCCACAACTCTTCCCTTCACTGTTCCTCTACTTCCTGTCCCAAATCACCCAGCTAGTTTTTCAAAAGCCTTCTCCAGAGCTGCTGCAGCCCCAGGGAGAGGCCTTCTGATCCCACCATGGGTTGATGCTAGCTCCCATCCTACCCACATCTGTGTCCTGACCCTTTCTCAGGTGCAGAACCCAAGGAATGTCCGAGTCAGGATCTTAAGCATAACAGTGCCCAAAGGTAACCTATAGTGAAAACCACTCTAGCTAAGGGGCTGGGAACCTGCTTTGGGAGGAGAAGAATGGAAGCCTGATTGCTGTAGAACCCAGAAAAACACATGTATGTGAATTCTCCTTTCTCAGTTCAACCACTCTTTAGATTTTCCCAGGATTTGGGAGCTTGGGGGTGGGAGTGGGATGGGTGCAGGGAGGGAGGTGTGTGACTCAGCTCCTCCCAGGAGCTTTGGTGGGGGACAGGGGACAGAGTGTCCTGCCCCAGTCCTCCTCCCCACTCCACCCCGCCCCCAGTCTTGGCCAAGTCAAACAGGCCCCCTCCCTGTCCATTCCCTGCTCCTGTTTACACCGGGAGCCCCTTAGTCATTCTCTGGCTGGCTTTTCTACTCTCCCCAATATCCCTCCTCTCTTGGCTCTCTCTGCCCTTATAAGTCCTCTCCCAGTGGCCCCAACACTGCCTGCCTTTCCTCTTGCCATGCCTGCTTTTGTCTGGCCTTCCTTTCCTCTGCTCCCAGTTGGGCCTGACTTTGAGATTTCCCTCCTGGCTGGAGATATTTCAGCATAATCCTCCGGGCCTTGAGACCATCCATCCAATATTCTGAAAGAGGAGAAAATGGGTGTGGAGAGATGAAGTGACTTGTCCAAGGTCACATGGTTTACCAGATAGGATGAGTCCAAAACCTAAGTGTTGTGACTCCCAACCCAAAGCCCTTTCCTCTCAGCCCACTCTCCTTTTGTCCTCTGCCTCCTTTCAGCTTTGTTTCTGTCTTGTGTATCTTTCAGTTTCTCTCTCTGGTGGCTCAGCATGGGTGCCTCCTAGTGTCTCTATTTTCTCTCTCAGACCTGATCTCTCTGCTACCCTCTGTCCCTCCATTGCTCAAAGGGAATGATTTGATACGATGACTGACTGTTCCTAATCATGGTATACTCATCATGATGGAGGCACAGGAGATGAAGGACGAGGCCAGGACACTCACTGGGCTAGTACTGTCACCTATCAGCCTGCTCTGAAGACAGTTTCAGAACCAGAAAATGACAGAGGTTCAAGATGCAGGTGCAGGTACAGGTTCTGAAGCCAAGAGTCATGCTGAATTTCCGTAGCATGGGAAAGCGGTGGAAAGTATTAATAGTGATTTATTTAACACATGCTATATGCTTGGCTCTGGGATTCCCCTTTAAATTGCCTCTATCCCATTTAATCTTCCCAACTATCCAGCCCTGAAGGTGTTGTTGTTTTCATTTTATGGCCAGGAAACTGAGGTTTACAGGAATGACTAACAACGTCAACAGAGAAAAGGGCAGAGGGGGAATCCAAACTCAATCCCAGTGGATTCCAGAGTCTTTTTTATTGGGGGGGTGGGGGAGGGTACTGGGGATTGAACTCTGGAGCACTCTGCCACTGAGCCACACCCCAGCCTTATTTTGTATTTTATTTAGAGATAGGGTCTCACTGAGTTGCTTAGTGCCTCACCATTGCTAAGGCTGGCTTTGAACTCACGATTCTTCAGTCTCAGCCCCCCAAATTGCTGGGATTACAGGCATGTGCCACTGAGCCCGGCCAGAGTCCTTCTTTTCCTATTATTAGCTTTCCAAACTGGGCTGGATTTCTATAGGGAATAGCGTTCTAGAGTAGGGATTTTAACCTAGATCTGTTGTCCTTGCGGATAGGGTGGGGGAAAGATTTTAAGTACAGGCCATTAATCCTTCTGAAACCGGATGGAAGTTTTATGTGTGCATATATGTGATAAAACTTAGTGGCCGCTTCTTCCCTTTAATTTCTTTCTTTCTTTTTGATACGAGGGATTAAATCCAGTGGTGTTTAACCACTGAGCCACATCCCCTTTTTATTTTGAGACAGGGTCTTGCTAAATCGCTTAGGGCCATGCTAATTTGCTGAGGCTGACTTTGAACCCTCAATCCGCCTGCCTCAGCCTCCCAAGCCTCTGGGATCACAGGTGTGCACCACTGTACCAAGTATCAGTGGCTTCTTTTAGATTCTCAAATGCCTCGAAATTCTGATTTCAAGACATAAGTTTGAGCCTTTTGAGACCCATAAAAAGCCTAGGTGGGTAGAGGTAGCTTCAGCTGAGGTTTCTATGAAGTAAAAGCTCCCAATTGGTGTATTGATGCCAACACAAATGGGTTATAGGTGTGCTGAGACTGATAATGACCCCCTCAATCCCTGAAGCCTGGAAGTATCTGGTTTTGCCAGAGACCCCAGGCTAGTGGCTTCTGGCCAGAGCAAGCCTCTCTTGATTACTTCAGGGAATTGTGCAATTATAACGTTCTCCGTGTGAACAGAGCAAAAAAAGACTGATTAAGAGTAGGAGGAAAGGGGGCCAGAGGAGCTTGTTGGTTTGTGGCTCCTAAGTTTGGCTCTGAGCCCTCTTCCTCCTGCCCTGTGGTGGGGCGATGAGCAGGAGCTGGATTTCACAGAGGGAAGGAAGGAGGGACGTTTGTGGAAGGTTGTGGTGCTGAAGAGAGTGGGGGATCCCCAGCAGTAGAGTAGGAGCCCAGTCATAGCAGGAGTTGAGTCCAAAGCCTGCTGAAGTTGGGGCAATGCTCTGTGCATGTGTAGGAGGGAAGTCGGAAAACCCAGGAGCCGACTATTTGAACCCATGAACTCTGTCACTGGCCTGACTCAGGTCTCTGCCTGGGGGAACTGATAGCTCCATCATCTGTGAGTCACTACCACCACTCCAACCCACTGTCTGACCTGGAGCCACCCCTCCCTCATGTCCCAGACTTAAAATAAACCCAGATTCCCCTCCCCTATCCCTACTTTGTTCAGAAAAGTGGAGGGGTGGATGAAAGATATTTGATAGGGTGACAGGAGCAGTCCTGGGATGCTTAGATTCTCTTGGGGATCTAGGATTCAACCTAGTGATTGAGACTGTGGCCAGTATGTCTGCAGTCACTAAATTGGGAATTTTTCTAGGCTGGATAGAGCCAAAGGGTCAAGGACTAGTTCAAGGGCACTTATAATAGAGGGGCAGGGCTGAGGGCCTACTGGTATAAAAATACACAAGACCCAGGGGTCCTGAATGAGCAGGTCAATAGGAAGGAGTTTGCCCAATCCACATCTTAACGAGTGTCTTTTCTTCCAACTTCTCTTCAGTTCTTAAATTTTTTTTTCTTTTTTCAGAATTTTTGGAGGCTCCAGAAATCATCAGCAAAATATAATGACCCCAGATCGGGAGTTAAAAGGAAAATAAGATCCTCTGAAGTGTCCTAACATTGACCTCATTGTATTTGCTCACTTGCCCCAGCCCCATTACTTTTCTTCCAGCTTTTCCACTTTGCTGCCGTGAACCTAAACTCTGTAGAGGAAAGGGGTGCCTGAAGCTTCTCAGCTCAAGGGCTTAGAGGCTGGAGGACAGACCCATCCGGGGTGGGAGCTGTGGGCGAGAGTGTCAGCTTCCTGGGATGGCCTTCCCAGATGTAAGCACATCTGGAGCCCATCAGGGAGGGACCTGGAGCACCATGATTCCCAGTGCACATCTGATTGGAGCTACAGATGAGCCAGGCATTCCCTCCTACTCCCATAAGTCTGTCTGCCATTTCTAGCCTTCTCTTGGGAAGGATTACCAATGGAGACAGGAAGTTAGGACATTGGAAGGGGCCAGGGAGGAGAACAAGACCCGGGATTACATCCCCAAACTCAGACATGCTGTTTCAGTTTCAGCTCTTTTCAGTTCTTCCTGACCCCACAGAGATGACAGTATTTCTGATTAGT